GAGTGATGACCCTTGTGTCTGAATATGATAAATCATGACATGTGTACTTAAGTACGAACCATGCACGAGACTGATAGGGCCAATAAGTGGTTAATCTTGAATGCACGCCCTTTGAACTTGAGTTTGATGACCCCTTGTAGTTATGGCGAGGATGAAGTAAAAGCATATATATATATAAAGAACAAGACGACTATGTATAATATTTATTCTATTCCTTTTTCTAATGAAACACAAATAATGACAACAACGAAAAATGACAAAGAATATAAAGCAAAGAACAAGCGCACGCAGTTTGAACAAATCATACCCTGATCCCGAGATTCATCCCAGGGAGTCGTGGATTAACTGGAAGGCAAAGGAGGCATTGCTAGCCTTAGCTTGATTATGCAATATGCAAGTTGCAATCCATCTTAAAGGTATCATTCCAACCTGTCAGAACCCTGATCCGGAGACTTTAATCCTCAAGCTGTTGTTGTGTTAACTCTGCGGGGGCTATGTGGCTCCACCCCACGCGGGTTTTACGTGTCTAAATACACAGTCGTAATCTTATTTACATATGTGAAAACAGAAACTCCATCCTCATTTGAGTTGAGCTTAGGCCGGGTTGCCTCAAGGTGTTGGCGGGGATTGTCTTAATAGGAGTTTCTAAGTAATTAACTGTACTAAATGAGGCGAGGTAGTGCTGGAAGGATATCAAGTAGCTCTTGTGAAAAAAAAAACATTGCGGTCCTTAAAAGAATCAGCTCACAGATGGTAGGTTCACTTCTCATCTAACGCCTAGCCTGCAAATCGTTCCAGCAGTCTTGAAGGCACTGTTATCAATACCGTTGCAATACAAGAGAGATTAAAGATCCACGCAAAATCATTTACTTATAGCACTGTTAAAGAATTTACCACGCAATACGGTTTCATTCTTGCGGTGTTAAAGCTTTTCCGCAGAATACAATGCTATTTTTTATCACACAGTACGATTTCATTTTAGCAATGTTAAAGATATTATGCTCTACTTTTTTTTATCACGTAATGCGATGTCATTACAGAATTGTTAAAGCTTTTCCGCAGAATATAATGCTATAATTCTTAATTACGTAGTGCTATCTATTTATAGCAGTATTCAAGCTTTCTCCTTACATGATCAATGCCCTTCATTTTATCCCATACAGGATGCTTTATTAACTCAACTACAGAAGACGGGACTGGCAATGGATTATGCATAATCCTTCAATGTTAAATTCAACAACCAACCATTCATTATCTTCCGATCTTATTCATTAGCATCTGAACACAATTGTTTCTGTAAAATGTACTCATTTGTTTGTGCTGAACGCCGGTAAATGACCAATATCTGCTATCCGTGAGTTTAATAGACATTATGCCTCAGTTACTATTGTTTTGATCTAAGGTGCTGCAAATTCCCACACGCATAGAATCATAGCCATATGATATGCGAATACGATTTACCCGTCATTTATAACTGTTGCTTTTGTATTTACTTTCTAATTGTTATTGTTATTTATGTTATTTTATTATTATCTTTATTTTTATTATTATTTATTTTTTTTTATCGGCTGTTTCTATGTCTATCATATCAACCATATCGATAATTCTAACAGTGAAGGGAATGTCTGTTATTCTTGTGATGCCTTTTGAAACTACATAGGCCCTTGGAATCAGTAGTCTAGTATAGTTTGGAATCCTCGATTTTCATCCGCATAAATCTATCATCCATGGAAGCTGTGTATAAATTCGACTGATGCTCGGACGAAAAAGTTTTTTTAATACTGTTTGACACTCCTAAAGAATTCTTTTACCAGAACAACAAACTGTGATTTTCTCTATCAGCAACAGAAACAGGCGGGCGATTGCCGAATAAGTCACCTCTGCGCACATTAAGCCGTGTTGTATTTAGTTGTAAAGCATAAAACTTAAAGGCGTAAACAGGCGGCAGCGCTGAGATCAATTATAAAGCATATATTTATCAACTCGTTAAGGATGGCTTCCACACCAACAAAGATGACTATAAACGTTTGAGGGTCGACGACAGGTCTTTAAAGGAAATCCAAAACCTCAAAAGTCAGACCTTTATTTGATAAAGAGCGGGTGCGGCCACAGTAACGGGGAAAATGGAAAGCCTCTAACGCATTTCATTATCCCAAAACTACCGAACCCGAAACAGAATTGCCTCCCTTGTGTGCTGACTCAGCCGTGCTACAGTGCGCGGGAAAATAAGTACTGCTGCATAAAAAACAAACTTGACAGAGTAGCGCGGGGTCATAGTACTATGTCAGGAGACGGCCGAGGCAGATTAAACCTCTTGTCTCCTCTACTTGCCGACCTGCTAAACCACTCATGATTTCCTTTTTTGCCCAATTCAGTGGATGAAGTGATTATTCTTTGTGCCGTGCGTTTAGTGGTGATGCCTCCACTGCTGTCAACTGCTGTTTTACCGAGTGTGCCCATACCTCTTAAGGGAATGGAAACCAAATACTGGATATATGGGACTCGATCTATAGATATTTGAGTTTGTTTAATGTATCAGTTTATACTTAGGTCGAATATTATAATACTGACTTATAATAATATTATAAGAATATTATAATACTGAATATTATTATAACATTAACTTATTCCATTCCTTAAAAACAGACTTACGTGCTACCCTAGACTTTAAGAAATAATGATCATTCTAAAACCGAATGCTATTTCATCCTTCATCACGTAATGCAACCGAATGGGTATGAGACCATAATGGACAATCCACAAAGGACCTAGAACAGTGGTTCTTAACCCTTATATTACCACGCCTCCTCTAGAACTTTGTCCTTCCCTCCACGCCCCCTTTGCATGTATGTATAAAACCCCCTCCCCTTTTTTTAAAGAAAATCATAAATGTTCTTAAACGTTTTATTGAGTAAGAACTAGTAGCTATATTACCAAACATCTCATTAATTGACCGTGCTCTTGTTAAGTGATTAACAAATGTGATTAGAGAAATTCCTGCGTTTTTCCCAAGGACTCGCCCCCCACACACATTTTAGGAACCAATGAACTAGAATTATGGA